AACAAATCAATAAATCGATAAAAGGGCCCTGTAAATTGCCGCGAAGTGGCCCATGACCTGCGCCATGATTTATATCTAATGGAGAAAATTCCAGCTTCAAAGTCCACCAAACTGTATTCCGAACATACATTTACTCAAAGATACATACTTTGAATTATATATACAGGGTGCGCCAAAATTACCGGCGCCAAATTTACAAACACTGTCACGAGGAACCATTGAAAGTTACTTTGCTCAGTAACATCAACCCACCGAAGATGTGCAATGGTACAAGGCTTTGCATCAGGGATCTCATGCAACGTCATAGTAGCGACCATATTGGCGGAGAAGTTCAAAGGCGAAGTCGTTTATATTTCACGAATCCCTTTGGTCCCCTCCGATATGCCCTTTGACAGTGCAGTTTCCAGTCAGGCCTGCACTCGCTATGACGATCAACAAAGCGCAAGGACAGCCTCTGCGAACAGTAGGAGTAGACCTGGAAGCTCCCTGTTTTTTGCATGGTCAGCTGTACGTGGCGTGTTCGAGGGTCGGGAGTCCGGCGAACCTGTACATATATGCGCCCGAAGGGAGCACAGCTAAAGTAGTGTATCCCAAGGCGCTAACATTATTGCATGCTGTAGTATAAAGCGGTTCCCAAATTTTGGAAGTTCCTGGACTTTTTAACAGAAACTCAAAAAGCCGTTGGTACCACGCGAAAGAGCACAGCCGAAAACGGTATATGATCCGTAAGAATGGAAATGGATGTTAGTCTTAAAAGTGTTTTTGAGCCTAATGCAAATTTCTAGCGGTTCATAATTAACGAACAACTTAAACATTTGAGTCCAAATTTTTTGTAGAGTTACAGTAACAAAGTCTGACATATCTGCTACACACTAAACCCAGCGCAGTTCAAAAAGAGGACCGTTACTTTCTTCAGAAGGCTCTAAATGCTTTTGGAGTGACTGCGCTCCAAAAACATCCGTTCTTCTGTGGTTTAAGCGCTCTGATTAGCTTCCACCAAAGCTATGAGATAGATAAAAATGTGCAAATAACTTGTCTATACTTGTAAATAATCAAAATACTTTTTTAAAAATTTTAAAAATTCAAATTAGCCTTGTAAAAAAATTTTTTCGGGGCGTGGCGTCAGCCACGCCCCGAAAAAATCCAGATTTAAAAATCCAGATTTAAAAATCCAGATTTAAAAATCCAGATTCAAAAATCCAGATTCAAAAATCCAGATTTAAAAATCCAGATTTAAAAATCCAGATTCAAAAATCCAGATTCTTTTTCCAGATTTTAGGGGTTGGGTCGCCCGCAAAAATTTTTAGAAGCACTCCTAAAAATTTTTCGGAGTGCGTGGCTAACGCCACGCACCTTCATTCGAAAAAAATTTTTGCCCCGAGCGGAAATCCTGGGTACGCCACTGTTGTGCCAAAGTTTTTGGGTTTTTTGTAGAAGTGATCTTGAGGCTGTGAAGCTAAAAAACCAACTAAAGGTGTGACTGCAATAGTAAAAGCAGTGTTTTTGAGAAATGACGTCTGCGTGGCCAAAACAAACACTCAGCGCTGCTGATTTTTTTAACCAAATACACAGTGTTGTGAACTTCTACATACTATGTGCTTATTTCATTGTACAGCTTCAGAAGCTGAGTTTTGAGGCTCAAAATCGTGCTAACTCTGTGGTAAGGTTGGAACTTGGTTGAAAAACGGCAGGTAAACGCAAAAATTTTCCAAGCGTCAAATAAAATACCTATCGAAAAAGCTTATTTTATCTCATAGCTTTGGTAGAAGCTAATTAGAGCGCGTAAACCACAGAAGAACGGATGTTTTTGGAGCGCAATCACTCCAAAAGCATTTAGAGCCTTCTGAAAAAAGTAACGGTCCTCTTTTTGAACTGCGCTGAGTTCAGTGTGTAGCAGATATGTCAGACTTTGTTACTATAACTCTACAAAAAATTTGGACTCAAATGATTGCAATCTTGAATGAAAAATAGACCTTTGTTTGAGGTGCTCGTGTAATTATGAACCGCTGAAAAATTGCATTAGGCTCAAAAACAGTTTTAAGATTGACACACATTTCCATTCTTACGGATCATATACCGTTTTCGGCTGTGCTCTTTCGCGTGATACTAACTTTTGACTTTTGGCTTTTTGACTTTTGGCTTTTCTGTCAAAAAGTCCAGGAACTTACAAAATTTGGGGTGTTCCTATAATTATGAACCGCACTTTAGTATAGCATTCTTTTGTTGCATGCCATTCTTTTGGAAAATTCAAAAAAAAATTGGAAAATACAAAATCCAAAAAAATGGCAAAACGAAAACCAAAAAAACGGCGGCCAGCGGCGGTCAGGGCAGGTGGGTGGGACAAACAAGAAGCTGAACAGATCCAGTCAAGTTTCCTTCCTTACTGATGATTCCGGGGAAAGCCTAGGGCCTGTTTAACCAAACCGTCTAAGGGTAGGAACGAAACGGTACAATTGAAGAGCCAAAATTGTATTCCTCTTTTTGAGGAATACAACTTCGGCTTTTTTTGACCGAAGTGCATGTGATGCCGGGCGTAGCCGGGTAAGCCAGCTAGTTTAGAATAAAGTATGCTTCTGAAATCTTACTAGCCCACATACAGAGCAATCAAGTGTGATGAATCATTGCCTTGAAGTATTTATTAAATAAAGTGCTCTGAAAATAATCACTGCTCCATCGAGTGTCAGAAAAAAGTATTACGACTAATTTGTCCTACTCGCACATTCAATTCTTTGCTACGATAAACGCTCATAACTCCTCGTCCATAAACGTTCCGCATCTTAGGAAGGCAGATTTGGAATCAGCGATTTATGCCCTCTGATGAGGTATACATCCCATCTAGAAAGGCCATTTCTACTCATGCTTACCTTGTTGAGATGTGAAGCTTTATTAAAGCGAGTCCGGTTGTGTGTATAACGTCACAGCTGCCACAGTAAGAGTGTCTTACAACTTCTAAAAATCAAAATATTCCATATGGTGCTTATCACCTATAAACAGCGGTAAGTCCTATCTATCAGCCTTTGAAAAAGGAAGCGCTTAGAGACCATGCTGTATAACAGCATGGTCCTCAATTAAGCAATCCCCAACTGCTGGCAAAAGTTCCGCGAGAAGAATAAAAAAGGTGCTTCGGAATGTAATGGAGATGGTGGCTCCGCACACAAACGAGGTCTAAATGTGGACTTTGATAGTGTCATATTATTGATATTATCATAAGTGAGTCTTCTATTATGATTTTCAGATTTTCAACATTTTTGTCGCCCTGAAGCCCGCTTTCGGATTTATCACCTCTAGACAACCACGTTGATGGGCGGAGCCACCATCTCTGCTTATCTTTTGCAGTCGGACTTTAGTGACGTGGAAGGCTCAGACTCTATTATAGAGCAAGAAAAGCTCATCATCCCTCATTTTGGTTGGGCGGTGTCTCCGAATGCAAAGGCTGATATGAAGGTAGCAATAAGATGGAAATTATAGTCTGCCTTTGTGGAAAAAAATCAAATTTTAGACTGGGACATTTATTTATAGGTTTTTACAAACTTTAATTTTGATTTATATGGGCGGAAGCTTAGAACTCTCACACTCTGGTAATAAATACTAAGGAGACGGAGGTTTTATAGACTTAGTGGACATGCAGATTACAAAGGGAAAACCACAAAAAAAGTTTATCGCCAAAATTCATCGATAGCTGCAATTTTCGGCAGTGCCAGGAAATCGTAGAGAGATACTTAGATAAAACACACAAATAGATATACAAAGATAGCGGATATCAAATACCGGTCCATCCTCTAATACACAAGCTGTAGGAATAAATGAGCAGGCTAAAAAATGAGAAATGTCTTTTGCTTGTAAATTCTTTCCCGTGCTTAGGCTTGAGATATACCTGACGATGGGTCGCTATAGCTGACGATAAGACGCTGCCAGCAGCAACGCCTTTTGTGCGTATCGATTGACGCCAGGCGACGCTGCTGCTTCTAGCTGCTGCAGCCATCGCGAAACAGGCCCGCTATAGCTAGCGATGCTGCGCTGCTCTGCGCTGCTGCTTGCTGCTCGTAGCTGCTCCTCGCTGCTATGCGATATGAAGCTCGCTTTTGGTGAGCTTCTCTCAGCTGCTTCATGCTGCTAACGCTGATTTTGCTCGGATTTGTCCCTTTTTAACATATTTTTGAACTTCTGAAGGATTCTAGAGCACTTGTTGCGATACTGAACTATGACGAATTTGCAAGACCAAAACGCAATGCGTCGATAAGAAAATCATTGAGGAATTGACAAAGTCGACAAAGAATTGGATATGAACTGCACAGAAGTTTTGCGAAGAAAAAATAAAATGAAATTGAAGTAACGATGAAAAGCTAGAGAATTTCAACAACTCAGAAGGATGTAACCAGTAGACCTCAATACACGGCAGCTATGACCTAGATTGTTCGGTTTCTGCCTGAGGCACACATCAAGATTCTACTGCGACACTCGCTTGGATATCTGTCAAATGATTATTCTCAGTACATGCAATATTTGGTTTGCCATTTGCTTCTTAAAAAATTGGTTGATAAGAAAAGAACGACTTTTTTGGATCTCATGTAATCATATTTTTCAATTTTGGTAGTTCCCAAGACTTGCTTTCCCAATAATTTAAGCGTCGTAATGGGTAAAGCTACTTCGGTCGTGCACCCAGTGTACCCAGCGCAGCAGCCACGTGCAGCTAGGGGCAGCGCAGACATCAGCGATTCGCCAACACCCGCTATACCTCTGTCGTCAGGTATATCTCAAGCCTTAATGAGGGATGATCAGGACTTGGGGCACAGTTGGCTTGGTAAGCAAGGTGGATATCGTTTTTGGGAGAAAAAGCAAAGGGGGTTTTGTTTTTTCTGAGCGAAAAGACAGAAATTGCGACGTTTTTTTGTCGACGTTTCGTTTTTTTAGAGATAAATTAGAGTAAATAGCTAAGGGTCAAAGGGCTTCTTGAAATTTTGGAAAAGTTAAGGGGATTTCGTTTTTTGCATTTTCCAAAAGCCACCTCGTGCTGAGCCTCAAGATGGTGTCACTTTTGCATAAATTATGTTATGTGCTTTTTGTACTTTCAAAGCGTTAGATAAAACTGAAAGAGAAAGGTGAGTTTCATCGCTTGTAAGAGCGAACGGTCAGCCAGATAGATTAGGTCAAGTATTTTGTAAAGTTTTACACATGTACTCAAATTCATGCACAAGGGGACCTGTACTTGGAAGGAGGAGGAGGAGAAGGGCAGCAAAATATAATCAATCACATTTAAGGTCGCTTTCCGAGAGTTTCTTGGCTGCCCGTCTTTGAAATCTTATGGCACTGGTCTTCACAACGTAGCCTTTGGGATTGTGGTTATGCATGTTCGCAAGAAGTATGTTGATTACCGATTGGTCATATCTGGAAGAGGTGGTTGAACAAACTGAATAGAATAAAGATAGGACAACCGACTTAAGCAGTTTGTATGCTGCTCTTTCTTTTTTTTTTCTATCGCAGCAAACAGTTGCGTCCTTAGTTCGTTTACAAGATATACCGTTTTTCGCAGAAATTTTGTTATTGCAGCAGCACATAGCCTATTTCGTTCCAAATGATCAATAGTCGAGCAAAAAAACGACTAGAGGTGCATTTGAATGAGCGTAGATGCAGATAATCAGACAAGAGGCTACTGCAGAAAATGCTCAAGTAGACAGAATGAATGGCAATACAAAACTTCCCAGTAAGATGTACGAACTAGTTAAAAGGCAGTAGAATGCTTACAGTAAAGCTATCCTTTGAATCTCTTGAACAATAAACAAGATAGATTCACAAGTCAGTTGTGCTCAGTTGACATGAACATGATGTTTTGCTGTAAATCAAATCAATTAAGGCTTGTGAATCTTTCTGCTCTGAATATCGCTTAATTGGGAAGTACAATTTCAGAAATCAAATGTGCAGCTTTGACAAACCTGCACTTTTTGCGAAATCACTGTAAACAAGGTAGCTTGAGCATGAAACAAAAAAACTAAAAAAAACCCTTCCAAATTTGCTAAATGAACAGCTCAGCGACATGAAAATCTTTCCGAACAGCGTTAACGGACCTCAACAGATATATACCAGTACAGAGTCAAAACCAAACGCATCCCTATAACAAAAATATGCGAGAACTGTGTTGGATTCAAATTTGTGATGAATTTTGAGGAAGAAAAATCAGTTATCAGCTGCTTGGACTGTCGCCTGCTAAATGCCACATCTTTGTATAACACAAGTATATATGACAGTTGACGACTAACCAAGCATATATTTATTTTGTTTACCAGCTGATACTTTTGCGATACAAAAATAAACTTGCCTGATTTGTCGTTCGAGAAAATGTACCCTTTTGTTGGTGAAACTCGGCGTGTGTAAGCTCTCAACTTCACAATTATATAAAATATCTATCCTCCAACCTTTTCTCTTCTTTTGAAATTGTTCAGTATGGAATAAGTAAACACTGCTAATGCTAGGTTCGGAAATCTATAATTTGAGGCTAAACCTGCGCAGCAGCAAACAAGGTAGCTGTGGCATTTTGGTCCTTTGAAATAAGTCTAAAATGCTGAAGATGTCATCTAGATAGCCCCAAACCACTCTTTAAATTGAATTTCATCGTTACTTTTCTGTATGTCTCCTTGTCTGCACTAACTGTATTATAAGCTCATTTGCATAGTTGCTAGTATATTAAAATTCTAGGCATTCCGATTCCGCCGTACACATCCTTCTTCAAGAGGGTGTAAAACGACAATAAAGTGTACCGTGCGTAATTATAACCTACTAACCATCCGATTGAGGTAGAAACGTCTGAGACCACAAAATATGATGTTCTACAGCATTTTCTTCCACGGCAAGCACTTCTACTTTATTGTTGCAATTGCACGTCTGTCGAAATTATGACGTAGCTACGTTACTATGCAGGCCATGTCTACACTTTCCTGCTATCAGAGATCAAGTTTTAAAGATTAACGCTCCTACCTAAACCATCATTGATAAGCCAAAAATACTCAAGCCCTTTTCGTATTTTTCGAAGAGAATTAGCGATTAAGATTTCAGACTTGAGGATCCGGGTTTTAAAAGTGCTTTAAAATTCTGAACCTGCCATTTGATAATTTGATTCGTAATGCTGAAAGCAAGGATAACAGAAACATTTCTTTTTTTTTTTGAAAGGTAACAGCTTCCAGGTTTGATAAATGTTTAAATATGTATGCCGTACAAAAAAACTGTAGCATCAAGAGATACAGCGCTCAAAAAGCGACCTTATGACTGTGATTAGGATTCGTAGTAATCGTACGAAATATGTCGCAATGTAAAGAAAACACGGACACCCTACAAGGGAAGGTCAGAAGTCAAAGTAGCCAATTTATACAAGTTGCATATCATTGGATGCAGCATAAAACGCTGACTCTAAATCTGTCTTCCTTAACTGCAAAGCGCTTTTGTAGAAAAAATTATAAGCCGTTGAAGGCCATCGTTTTGCTAAGAAATCGTGCGTGTAAAGTGCATACTTGGCCGTACAAAGCCATTCTGGCTCAGTGTTGGACCAAAACATACAACTAGGTCACCTCATGTGGCCCATACCTAAAGGTGAGCTGGATGAGCAATAATGTGCCTAATTTCGCAATTTTTGTGCACGATTTTTTCGCAGTAAAGCTGCTCATAAGACAGATTTGAAATCAGCATTCTATGCTTCATCGAATAATATGCAGCTTGTATGGATTGGTCACTTCGACTTCTGACCATTTTCCCTTGTTAGATGAATGCAGCGCACTGTTATAGGTGTAGCTCGTAATCAGTCATCCATCTTACAGCTTGATGCTGGGCGTCCATAGTGAAGCTGCTTGCGGTAGAAATGAGTAATATCTCATGATTATAAAACTTCGGCGAACCAATGCTCTTAGAATGATCATCAAAAAGCATAAATTTTCCATGTTTCATTTGTCTCAAAAATGCTTACTTAAAAATAGAAGTTGAAGCAGACATTTCAAACAAGCTGCATGTCCCTGTATAGCATAGAATGCTAAGTTCAAATCTTTCTTTATAAGTGCTAATCGCCTTTGTAGACGAAGTTATGGGCACTTTCATCGCGAAAAACTCAAAAAAGAACTGCTAAACTAGGCACAATACTGCTCTTTCATTTCACCTCCAGATATGGATGATAAGAAGTAACTTAGCTGCATGTTTTGGCCTAGCATTGAACCGAACATGACCAGTACTGCCAAAATTGCATTTTGCATGCATTATTTCTCATTTCTTAGCAGTATAACGGCTTATAATGAGTCATGTCCGCAATAAAGTTTTGCAGATAGGAAGACAGATTTAATGTCATAGTCGTTCTATGTTGCGTTGGTATGCAGATTCGTTGAGTTGGCCACCTCGACACCTGGTCATTTTTTGTTAGCATCGGAATAAAATATAAACGATTCGTAGCACGCAAAGACTGTGAACGTATCGGCTTCTCCCTGATCGAGCGCTCTTTCGTTTCTCTTACCACCTGTTGTTTCTCCCATCCGGAACTATCTTGGTCGGACGCAAAGGCATCCATCTTCGCGTATTGCGAATCGCTTATACTTCTAGCGCAATGTCACGACCATTTCTAAGCTCAAAAAAAAAACTGACTGGATGTGTTTTCAAGTACCGTCAAGGGATCATATATGAAAAATTCAGCTTAGGCAATATTGCGATGTCTTTTATGCTGATGTGTTGACGTAGTAAAGCTTCCAAAAGATGGTTGAAAAAGAAAGATGCAAGTTCCAATACATTGAAGTAAAAATCCTTCCTCACAGCCTTCTTATTCCGCAGCGAGGATATACAGGATGTCCCAAAAAAATGTGAACACTGTTTGATCGTTAATAACTCCGTTGCTTTCACATCTTTTGCCGAGCTTGAAGCACCATTTTGTGGAGCGAGGTTCAAATTAGATTTGTAGTATGGAGCGAATCACCGATTGATTTTTGTTACTGTAGGATTACGGTGTAAACTTCTAGCATGTAAATCCATTGTGAAATATACCATTTGACAAAATTTATTTCAAAAAATCCAGAAAATCGTGTACTAAAGTTTTTGAGCACGCTGATTTCACTACACAACTTTTTACGAGTGTTTTTAGCTTTTTCGGCGGTATATCACCTGACAAATGCTGGAAATTCAGTATTACGGTTTACTTAGGAAAACCTTGGAAAGAAGCATCACAGTAAAGTGAAAATTTCATATTCGAAATCAGCTCAAAAGCCGCTTCCATTACCATAATACAGAAGTTTTTGGCTTGTTTGGTTCTGTTCCGAGGCAGAATATGGCCTCCAATGGCCTAAATTCCTTGTCGAAGTTCCTACCGTAATCCTACAGTAATGAAGAGTGATCGCCGATTCGCTCCACGCTTTAAATCTAAGTTAATCCTCGCTCTATAGAATGGTGTCTCAAGCTCGGCGAAAGACATGAACGCAAGGGAATTATTAACAGTCGAACAGTGTTCACATTTTTTTGGGACACCCTGTACATGCACGGGCCAATTTGTATAACTACATCGAAGCTTTTCACTTTTTGATACTCTGTACCTTATCTTATCATAAAAGGTTTAGAATTTATAAGAAACAAAAGACTAATGTCCGCAGAAAACATACAAATTTGCTGGAGCAGTTTGGGGTAAGCAAATTTAGTCTACCGTTCGTACCAGGACGAACTGTATGGAACAGCGTTCAATGCTTTACACTCGGCAACGCTCACATGTTCGCTCATCTTATACTAGTCTGTGTTGCAAAGTTTTGCGTAGTTTTACATGGCAAACCTGTGGCAGTTTGCGTATGTCCCGTGCTTGTCTTTTCCGAAAGAGCACTTAAGCTTTGCTCCAGGAGGTGCCATACAATCCTTTTCAAGTGCACATAACACGTACCTAAACGTAAGAAAAATTCGAAAAAATTTGCTTGTGTTTCAAAACTACCACTTTATCAGCTCGACAGTATCTGCAGTTCTGACCGCAAAAGCGAATCCAGCAGCATAACATTCGTTCTTCTTTAGTTCTTTCGTGTTTGTAGGAAGGTACTCGTATAGCCCTATAAAGTTGAAAAATTTATATAACTGGAAAAAATTTATATGCAAACGATAACAGACTCAAAACTTATCTTACCTTGACATTGATTAGATGATTTATTGACAATAATTTATTATAAGCTTAAGCTGAAACAATTAGAAAACCCAACTCGCGACGTGCTGTAACAAATCAACGTTAACTCAATGACCTACTTCTCAAAAAATTGCTACTTTGTGCACTAAAGCTGTGTGATCTATCGATATCTCATACTGCAACTGACTAAAACTGATGCTAATCTAATCATATCAAAGGATTTTTCCAATCAAAGCTCGTGATAAGGTCATATAACACTCGGCTATATGCCAAGAATAACGATAGCTGGCGCCAAGCGCGCGCGGGGTCATGAACTGGCAATAGGGCATTCGCTCGAAGCTCCGCCCTAATGCGGCGGACAAGTTTCTCGTACGATACCGTACCCTCATACTTCGCATTAGTCCGCGATGTATGAAAACTTTTCTTATGAAGGCGAATCCTATTTATTTTTTTGCTGATATTCTAGTATTCCCTATTATTCTAGCCTAGTATTCATTCTAGTATTCGCTATACATTCTAATAGTCTGGACTAGTATTTTTCACATGATTTACTGCTACAGTATTCTCTAAGAACTACATTACTATTCACCTTCATTTTGATCAAATTGTTTGCTTTAATATCATGATGTTTGCTTTACCAAGTCGTAAATCTACCAAGTTCACGGTGGTAGTCATGTCAAATGAGAACATGAACCCATCCGTGATATGCCAGAAAGCTTGGGAACATTTTTTATACAGTGATATCTCTTCCTCATTCATCACTTAGTTCTTTCCATTCCTCCTTTTTCATTTATGCCTTGCCCCTTCGTTAAATCTTTGGAATAGTGAGGTAAATAGTGGAGGTCATCAAGATATACCATAAAATCCTTAAGACAGAAGGGTCGAGTTCAGTATATGACCTAGATGTGAGCTGCGAAACAGACTTGACATGACCGTAACTCCACTATAGCTTGCCAAGCACCAAGACCTTCATGCTTTGATAGGATGAGCTTATATAAAAGGAGAGCAAGTACAATGCACAATCATACAACGATATGCTGCCGAGTTTTCAACTTAATTTGCTAACCTATGCTGCTCTTTTGCAACAAATGCAGATGCAGCACCATATGCTGAGTAATCAAGTTGCGGGTGAGTGAGTACATACGATATTTTAATCCCGAACAAAACAATGTAGGCTCTCAAACGACCCAACCACCAGCAAGAGCAGATCCGAATGGAGAAACAAGCTCAACTGCCGGAAGAGAAAACACTGATGCAAGCTTCAGGAGCACCAGGCCACAGCGTCGTCGTTGTGGCTATGATTTGTCTGCGCCAAGATTTCATGCTTCTGTTGAGCCAAGCCAGCATGGCAAGCACGCACTCTTGCGATATTCAATTCCAGGTAGAAACAATAGCTCCACGATCTAAAAGCCTAACAGTCTTTGTAGTGAAGGACAAACACGGTGCTACACCTTTGAGCGCATAAGAACTAACTCCACATGCTATTGATAATGTGTTAATGCAGTTTCTAATATAAAATGTATTCAACAACCATCAACAAACAACGAACAGCAACAAAACCAAAATATTAAAAACAAAACAAACAACAAACAAATTAGAAAAACAATACACAAACAAAAACAAAAACAAAAACTGGATTTGCGGATGAAGCTGGGAAAGTTGGAGATGTGGGACAGGATCTGAAAATATATTCGAAAAAGTGTTCAGTATAACCCAAAATACACGAAACATAAATAAGAAATACGAAAAGAAGTATAAGAAACACTAGGCACTTACCAAATATTGTTGATGAGTGTTGATGACGCAATCCACCCATGCAAATACGAAAATCCTATAAAAAACAAACGTCAGTGAAAATGAGAATATTGGCAACTATATAAGAAATAAAACACACGGTAAAGGTATAAAGGTTGAATGAGACAATGATAAATGAGAACAGACTGAAAAATTAGAGCAAAACACGTAAAAGTAAGAAGTTGCACTATTACGAGAGAAATGAATCGCAATGAGAAATATGATTTTGGCTGAGAATCGTGAACAAATGGTGAATCATCAGTCGATAAGATGCGCGTTCTTTGAACCGCGCCGCATGCCCATGCGTGCGCTCGACTAGAGCGAAGAGGCGAGGCCTTCTACGCGCTCGAGCAGCTGGCAGCTGGGCGGCTGACAGAGCTATCGTTATTCTTGACCGCCACCCATAACACTCTGCTAAGATTAATATTATGTGTGTTTTATCTATTTTTAACCACTCCTCCAATTGCTCTTCTTTGGCGTATTGTTTCACGAGTTATAAGGGAGCCTCGTAGTTTGGGTACAAGGCACAGCTTTAATTATCTCCTGTATGTCACATCAGCACTGCACATGTCACATCCATGCGACTATAAATGTAATAGGTAGATAAGTTGCGTTGCTACTGACTGACTGCTTTCCTTAGAAAAAAAAGCAACCAGTCAGCAGCAACGTAACTTATCTATCTATCTTTTCATTCGGCATCTTACTATCACATTAGCCGGTTGCCTCATCATTCCCATTATGCCTACTACAAAATCAGAGGGTTCTAAGAAGACCGAAAAGGCAGTCACACTCCAGAACAATATTTCTGCTGATTTCCTCCTTGCCCATTTTTGCCAAACGGAAGAAAAGACTCCAACTCTACTATTCTGACTTCTACTGAAAGCCTCCCTTCCCCTTACGCTCACAAGGTTCTAATCCTACTGTTATGTCATCCCCACTCCTAAATGCTTCGGAAAACTAAATGAACCTCCTCGGAATTGTATGTCTCGTTTACCATGTTGTCTTTTCAATATACGTTCCATGATCAGTAATGCGGACGATTTAATTTTGAGACTTTGTAGTGAGCATCTTGGTGCTGTTTTTCTAACAGAGACCTGGTTGAAAACTAACAACGAACTTTCAGCTCATCTTGGTAGTATTGCTTCCTCAACATACACCCGGGATCAGGTGTGACCGAATTTTCCGTAGAGAAGGCGGGGTTGCTATTTTGATCCGAAAAACTATCAGTAAATGTGGTTTTCAGTGAATCTATAGCTAACTCCCGTTATTAGTCTGCGGCCTTTTATTTTCAAGCGAAACAATACGGTTGATATTGATTTATAAGATGCCAAATTGTAGCGCCATGGACCTCATCAATCTAACAAAAGCACTCAGTGATTTTAGTGTTTTTGAAGGTCCCACTATTTTGTTAGGTGACTTCAATCTTCCCCACATCGATTTCACTTCAAACCCTTTCATGATTCAGTGCAACTCTACAGAGACATTCACTGATTTTGTTACCACCCATGGTTTTGTGCAGCTTGTTAAAAGTTCCACCAAAGTTAATTCCGATTTTGATTTTATCTTTTGCAACCGTCCTAATCTGGTTGCTGATATTGAAATATGCTCCCCAATAGAAACCAGTAATCACTCCACCATGACTTTTCCCTCCGAGTGGTGTTTTACACTCCCGCTACAGAAATCCTTATCAAGAATTCTAAGAGTGCTAACTACTCTGTTGTGCGAGAGTATCAGAGTATTCATCAAATATTGACTGGTTGGGTTGTTTTACACCCTAAATCCCGTCAATGAAATGTATGAACTTTTTCCTGCCGTTTTACAACACGCAGTGAAAAGTTCATTCCATTATGTAGTTTTGGAGAATCAACAAAGTCTACCATCGTACCTTATAAACAGGATCAAGAAACGGGATATGCTTTGGAATCATGCTGTTGATTGTGGAAGTATTAAAGCATGGTCTGCTTTCAGAAAATTCAGTAGTAAATTTGAAAGAGCTTTACATAAATACCACAACTATCTGAAGAAAAAACTCATTTTATCGAAAAATAAAAATGGGTTTTTTCGTTATATGAGAACTCATCTTGTGGATAAATATTAGGTCGGTGCAAAAGTTTTGTCAGTTTTTTTCAGTACATCGGCAAACACGCTAGAATAAAGGTAAACAAACGCTTCAAAATGTACCCGATGCAGAATTCTTCCTCTTTCCAGCTGCCAAACTCCCACTGTGTTTAATTGAAAGAATGCTGAGAAGTTCGCTGGAAATTGCAACCATTCGTTTTTACCATGTCCAACTTTCACTAATTTTCAAAGATTTTGTATGAGACTTTCGGAGGAGCCCTAATAACCATCAGATAGGGCAAACCTTTTGCTAACAGAAGCAATTTTTTTCTTATTTCAGCTGCTTTTTCAGATTTTTGCTGAATAATTTTCTAAAAGTCTTGTGTTTTGGAAAAATCGCCTAACCTAATATTGCACCAAACACTGCAAAACCTACAGAAAACTGAGGCTGCAACATTCGATTATTACTACCGACAACACCATTACAAAGTAGGTGAGCGATTTTCGCTTCGAATTATGGAGATTTGGAAGCATGGGGTGCGACAGTGCGTACTCGTAAAATAGAGAAATATTGCAAATTTTCCTGCAATTTCTCGTGTCTCGCCAAGAGAAGATAGCTGTTAGAGAGAGGAGAAAAAGTTGCATCGAATGGTACTTGAAGTGTTTACCATTTCATGTTCTACGAGGTCAGAATAGGCTGAATGTAAAATTTGGTCACTTCAAAAAATAAATCGTAAAAATTCTGAAAGACAAGCCGTAGGGCTACAAAAAATTGATTCTGTTAGCAAAAGGCTTGCTCTATTTGCAGGTTATTAGGACTCCCCCGAAAGTCTCGTACAAAAACTTTGAAAATTAGTGAAATTTGGACATGGTAAAAACGAATGGTTGCAATTTCCAGCGATTATCTCAGCACTTCCTCAACGAGACACAATGGGAGTTTGGAAGCTAAAAAGATGAAGAAATTCTGCATCGGATACATTTTGGAGCGTTTGTTTATGTTTATTCTAGCGTCTTTGCCGATGGATTGAAAAAACTGACAAAACTTTTGCACCGACCTAATATGTCTCATACCCACTAAATATTTCTGGAAAATCTCTATTACGTGACACAGATAAGGCTATTCTCCTAGCTGAAGAAATCCAAAAAGTCTATATCAAAACTTCATTTGCAACTTATTACCCAGCTCCTATGTTCCCGGAAATGAGATCAGTCTGGTTTTCAAGAGACAAAATAGTCACAATCCTTTCCAAATATCCTAGTTCTTTTTCGTTGACTCCTGATGGAATACCTTTGTTTTTCATTTAAGAGGTGCTCCCTAATCGGTTTCCCTTCAGAGTTTCTATTCAACTTGTCCCACATGAGAAGTAAGGTTCCTGACAGGTGGAAGCACTCTCTCGTAACCCCCACTCCGAAGAAACCGCCCCACAACGATCCAAAAAATTATCTTTATACAGAGTGCGCCAAAACTATTTGCGTCAACTTTGCACGAGTGCTGCAAAAATTTACGTGTTAGAATGCTGCAATCATCCTCTACGAAATAGCGTTTTATGAGCCCAAGCTGATTGCTATATCTTTGTGCAAATAATGAAATTGTCGTACTAATATTTTTGGAAGGCGCAAAGACCTAATTTTTCGGTAGGTATAATTCATTCCGTAACTGGAGATTCTTGAGACATTTTCAAGGGATTTCATGTCCACAGTGTAGAGGAAGCTTTGCGCTATCGTAGTATCTGCGTTCGCCAACAATTATTCTTCCAAAAGTGGTAACAAATATTAGGTCGGCTCGAAAGTTCTTGCGTAATTCATTCAAAATTCAATAACTTTTCACAGCCTAAACTTAAATTCACAATTTTGTACGCTAAAAATATTAGAAGGTTTGCGCTCCATGACAGAAGTCCAAGAGCAAGATTCCATGAGCTAGCCACCGAGAACGAAGCTCTTAAATATGGGGCTTCAAATTTTGCGATTTTGAGTTTGGTGCCAAGAAATCGCAGAGGCCTGCTAGCTAGCCGAAAAAATCTATAGAAATTACTTACACAGCAAAAGTCCACACGTTATTTTAGCAGGCTTTGATCTCGCATGGAAATGCGAAAACAAGAAATTTGTGAAATTTTTCATTTTACAGGACACATCCCCTTGTCGCCGTAGTTTTTCCACAGAAACGCACTTAGACAATTGCATCGGGAAATTCGCGGGTGCTTGCTCGGCCACCAGTAATCCATGCCGCGAGCTGCCCGGTATAAACCAATATTGGACCCGATAAGTGACCGCGGCGCATCCTGTAAGCGCCCGATGGTTGACCCGATTAGCATGGTTGTAAGACCTAGAAAGAGTAAAGAAATTTTGGCTTGTTTTTTTTTGACTACGACTGAGTGCAAACTGAGCAACCTGGTAGCTCATCTGTCGCCATCATCTACTGTCGTCCGAAACACTGGACCGACTGCTGAAGTTTGTTTCGTGAGCATATAAACTTAACTACAAGTCAAACAACCCAATCCGAGAAGCGATTATCAGCCCCACAAACACTTAGGGTAGCCCCATCGCTGCGGCGTACCTCACGCGAATTGCGCCTTAAACTACAGCGTCTAAGAAGTGCGGCCTTCGATAAGGCCCGCGGCACGCCGAGTGAGGCGATTGGGCCGCGACTCTCCCGACAAGCTCTTTCGAATTTTATCTTTGGCCGCGGCGTTCCCGATAAAATATACATGGGCCGCGGCGTGCGCGGCTGAAATTTTAAGGGCCGCGGCGCGCCATGTAGCACGCTTTGAGGCCGCGAACTTTCCGATGCAATTGTCTGAGGCAGTTTGCAACCAGAAATTAGACATAGTGACTGTTTAGAGCGTTGCGACGTTTTCTGAAGTGTAAAAAAGTGCTTTCGCGGAAAAACTGCGGTATCAAGGGAATTTTTTCCGCAAAATAGCATATTTCACGAATTTTTGGTTTTTGCTTCGCCGTGCAAGATCAAAGCCTTCCAAAGTAAT